CCCTGAGGGTGGGGGCCACCCAGAGGCCTGGGTCCCTGAGGGTGGGGGGCACCCAGAGGCCTGGGTCCCCGAGGGTGGGGCCTCACCTGCTCGCTCCTCGCGGGCCGGGGGCCCTTCGGCCTCGGGCTCCCGCTGGCCGGGTCCCTCCTCCTCCTCCCCCTTCCGCAGCCCTTCGGCCTCGCTGCCGTCACCCGGGGACGGTGGCACTTCGGGGACAGGAGGCTGTGGGGACAGGGTGGGGGTGGCGTCAGCGTGACAAGGGGGGACGAGGGGACAGGGACAGAGGGGACAGGGACAGAGGGGACAGGGATGGGGACAGGGATGGGGACACAGGGTCAGGGTGGAGGAAGAGGACAGAGAGGGGACAGGGACAAGGACGGGAGGGTGACAACAGCGCTGGGGACAGAGGGTTGGGGACAAGGACAAGGGTTGGGGACAAGGACAGGGCTGGGGACAGGGTTGGGACAGAGTTGGGGACAAGGAGAACATGACTGGGGACAGCGAGGACACGATTGGGGACAGGGTTGGGGACAGGGATGGGACAGAGTTGGGGACAAGAACACGATTGGGGACAGGGAGGACAGGGTTGGGGACAGCCCTGTCACCCACCTCTGTCTCCATCTTCTCTGGGCCTTTGGGCTCCTTCTCGTCCCTGGTGTCACCGTCGTCCCTGTCTGGGGGTGGCCCTGGCCCGTCCCCGCGCTCGCTGGGCGCCGGCGTGGCTGGGGACAGGGGACGTTAGGACATGGGGACATGGGGTGTCCCTGTGTCCCCCCACCCTGTCCCCCATGTCCCCCACGTCCCTGTCCCCATCCCGTCCCCTGCGTCCCCCCATCCCTGTGTCCCCATCCTGTCCCCATGTCCCCCATATCCCCCTGTCCCTGTCCCCATCCTCTGTCCCTCATGTCCCCCTGTCCCCATCCTGTCCCTATGTCCCCATCCCCATATCTTCATCCTGTCCCCAACGTCCCCCATGTCCCCCTCTGTGTCCCCATGTCCCCATCCCCTTATCTTCATCCTCCCCTTGTCCGGGCCCTTGTTCCTCTTGTCCCTGTTCCCCAGGTCCCCATCTCAAGGGTCCCTTGTCCCCATAGACCCTGTCCCCAGGGGCCCTTGTCCCCATAGACCCCCTCCCAGGGGCCCTTGTCCCCACAGAACCCTGTCCCCAGGGGCCCTTGTTCCTCTTGTCCCTGTTCCCCAGGTCCCCATCTCAAGGGTCCCTTGTCCCCATAGACCCTGTCCCCAGGGGCCCTTGTCCCCATAGACCCCCTCCCAGGGGCCCTTGTCCCCACAGAACCCTGTCCCCAGGGGCCCTTGTTCCTCTTGTCCCTGTTCCCCAGGTCCCCATCTCAAGGGTCCCTTGTCCCCATAGACCCTGTCCCCAGGGGCCCTTGTCCCCATAGACCCCCTCCCAGGGGCCCTTGTCCCCACAGAACCCTGTCCCCAGGGGCCCTTGTTCCTCTTGTCCCTGTTCCCCAGGTCCCCATCTCAAGGGTCCCTTGTCCCCATAGACCCTGTCCCCAGGGGCCCTTGTCCCCATAGACCCCCTCCCAGGGGCCCTTGTCCCCACAGAACCCTGTCCCCAGGGGCCCTTGTTCCTCTTGTCCCTGTTCCCCAGGTCCCCATCTCAAGGGTCCCTTGTCCCCATAGACCCTGTCCCCAGGGGCCCTTGTCCCCATAGACCCCCTCCCAGGGGCCCTTGTCCCCACAGAACCCTGTCCCCAGGGGCCCTTGTTCCTCTTGTCCCTGTTCCCCAGGTCCCCATCTCAAGGGTCCCTTGTCCCCATAGACCCTGTCCCCAGGGGCCCTTGTCCCCATAGACCCCCTCCCAGGGGCCCTTGTCCCCACAGAACCCTGTCCCCAGGGGCCCTTGTTCCTCTTGTCCCTGTTCCCCAGGTCCCCATCTCAAGGGTCCCTTGTCCCCATAGACCCTGTCCCCAGGGGCCCTTGTCCCCATAGACCCCCTCCCAGGGGCCCTTGTCCCCACAGAACCCTGTCCCCAGGGGCCCTTGTTCCTCTTGTCCCTGTTCCCCAGGTCCCCATCTCAAGGGTCCCTTGTCCCCATAGACCCTGTCCCCAGGGGCCCTTGTCCCCATAGACCCCCTCCCAGGGGCCCTTGTCCCCACAGAACCCTGTCCCCAGGGGCCCTTGTTCCTCTTGTCCCTGTTCCCCAGGTCCCCATCTCAAGGGTCCCTTGTCCCCATAGACCCTGTCCCCAGGGGCCCTTGTCCCCATAGACCCCCTCCCAGGGGCCCTTGTCCCCACAGAACCCTGTCCCCAGGGGCCCTTGTTCCTCTTGTCCCTGTTCCCCAGGTCCCCATCTCAAGGGTCCCTTGTCCCCATAGACCCTGTCCCCAGGGGCCCTTGTCCCCATAGACCCCCTCCCAGGGGCCCTTGTCCCCACAGAACCCTGTCCCCAGGGGCCCTTGTTCCTCTTGTCCCTGTTCCCCAGGTCCCCATCTCAAGGGTCCCTTGTCCCCATAGACCCTGTCCCCAGGGGCCCTTGTCCCCATAGACCCCCTCCCAGGGGCCCTTGTCCCCACAGAACCCTGTCCCCAGGGGCCCTTGTTCCTCTTGTCCCTGTTCCCCAGGTCCCCATCTCAAGGGTCCCTTGTCCCCATAGACCCTGTCCCCAGGGGCCCTTGTCCCCATAGACCCCCTCCCAGGGGCCCTTGTCCCCACAGAACCCTGTCCCCAGGGGCCCTTGTTCCTCTTGTCCCTGTTCCCCAGGTCCCCATCTCAAGGGTCCCTTGTCCCCATAGACCCTGTCCCCAGGGGCCCTTGTCCCCATAGACCCCCTCCCAGGGGCCCTTGTCCCCACAGAACCCTGTCCCCAGGGGCCCTTGTTCCTCTTGTCCCTGTTCCCCAGGTCCCCATCTCAAGGGTCCCTTGTCCCCATAGACCCTGTCCCCAGGGGCCCTTGTCCCCATAGACCCCCTCCCAGGGGCCCTTGTCCCCACAGAACCCTGTCCCCAGGGGCCCTTGTTCCTCTTGTCCCTGTTCCCCAGGTCCCCATCTCAAGGGTCCCTTGTCCCCATAGACCCTGTCCCCAGGGGCCCTTGTCCCCATAGACCCCCTCCCAGGGGCCCTTGTCCCCACAGAACCCTGTCCCCAGGGGCCCTTGTTCCTCTTGTCCCTGTTCCCCAGGTCCCCATCTCAAGGGTCCCTTGTCCCCATAGACCCTGTCCCCAGGGGCCCTTGTCCCCATAGACCCCCTCCCAGGGGCCCTTGTCCCCACAGAACCCTGTCCCCAGGGGCCCTTGTTCCTCTTGTCCCTGTTCCCCAGGTCCCCATCTCAAGGGTCCCTTGTCCCCATAGACCCTGTCCCCAGGGGCCCTTGTCCCCATAGACCCCCTCCCAGGGGCCCTTGTCCCCACAGAACCCTGTCCCCAGGGGCCCTTGTTCCTCTTGTCCCTGTTCCCCAGGTCCCCATCTCAAGGGTCCCTTGTCCCCATAGACCCTGTCCCCAGGGGCCCTTGTCCCCATAGACCCCCTCCCAGGGGCCCTTGTCCCCACAGAACCCTGTCCCCAGGGGCCCTTGTTCCTCTTGTCCCTGTTCCCCAGGTCCCCATCTCAAGGGTCCCTTGTCCCCATAGACCCTGTCCCCAGGGGCCCTTGTCCCCATAGACCCCCTCCCAGGGGCCCTTGTCCCCACAGAACCCTGTCCCCAGGGGCCCTTGTTCCTCTTGTCCCTGTTCCCCAGGTCCCCATCTCAAGGGTCCCTTGTCCCCATAGACCCTGTCCCCAGGGGCCCTTGTCCCCATAGACCCCCTCCCAGGGGCCCTTGTCCCCACAGAACCCTGTCCCCAGGGGCCCTTGTTCCTCTTGTCCCTGTTCCCCAGGTCCCCATCTCAAGGGTCCCTTGTCCCCATAGACCCTGTCCCCAGGGGCCCTTGTCCCCATAGACCCCCTCCCAGGGGCCCTTGTCCCCACAGAACCCTGTCCCCAGGGGCCCTTGTTCCTCTTGTCCCTGTTCCCCAGGTCCCCATCTCAAGGGTCCCTTGTCCCCATAGACCCTGTCCCCAGGGGCCCTTGTCCCCATAGACCCCCTCCCAGGGGCCCTTGTCCCCACAGAACCCTGTCCCCAGGGGCCCTTGTTCCTCTTGTCCCTGTTCCCCAGGTCCCCATCTCAAGGGTCCCTTGTCCCCATAGACCCTGTCCCCAGGGGCCCTTGTCCCCATAGACCCCCTCCCAGGGGCCCTTGTCCCCACAGAACCCTGTCCCCAGGGGCCCTTGTTCCTCTTGTCCCTGTTCCCCAGGTCCCCATCTCAAGGGTCCCTTGTCCCCATAGACCCTGTCCCCAGGGGCCCTTGTCCCCATAGACCCCCTCCCAGGGGCCCTTGTCCCCACAGAACCCTGTCCCCAGGGGCCCTTGTTCCTCTTGTCCCTGTTCCCCAGGTCCCCATCTCAAGGGTCCCTTGTCCCCATAGACCCTGTCCCCAGGGGCCCTTGTCCCCATAGACCCCCTCCCAGGGGCCCTTGTCCCCACAGAACCCTGTCCCCAGGGGCCCTTGTTCCTCTTGTCCCTGTTCCCCAGGTCCCCATCTCAAGGGTCCCTTGTCCCCATAGACCCTGTCCCCAGGGGCCCTTGTCCCCATAGACCCCCTCCCAGGGGCCCTTGTCCCCACAGAACCCTGTCCCCAGGGGCCCTTGTTCCTCTTGTCCCTGTTCCCCAGGTCCCCATCTCAAGGGTCCCTTGTCCCCATAGACCCTGTCCCCAGGGGCCCTTGTCCCCATAGACCCCCTCCCAGGGGCCCTTGTCCCTGTTGTCCCTGTTCCCCGGGTCCCCATCTCAAGGGTCCCTTGTCCCCAGTGTCGCTTGTCCCCACTGTCCCTGTTTCCAGGGTCACCATCACGAGGGTCCCTTGTCCCCAGGGTCCCTTGTCCCCATAGACCCCATCCCAGGGGCCCCGTCCCCAGGGGCCCTTGTCCCCATTGTCTCCGTTCCCAGGGTCCCCATCTCGAGGGTCCCTTGTCCCCAGGGTCCCTTGTCCCCATAGACCCTGTCCCCAGGGTCCCTTGTCCCCATTGTCTCCGTTCCCAGGGTCCCCATCTCGAGGGTCCCTTGTCCCCAGGGTCCCTTGTCCCCATAGACCCTGTCCCCAGGGTCCCTTGTCCCCATAGACCCCCTCCCAGGGGCCCTCGTCCCCATTGTCCCTGTTCCCAGGGTCCCCACAGACCCCATCCCCAGTGTCCCCTGTCCCCAGGGTCCCTTGTCCCCATTGTCTCCATTCCCAGGGTCCCCATCTCGAGGGTCCCTTGTCCCCATAGACCCCATCCCAGGGTCCTCGTCCCCAGGGGCCCTTGTCCCCACTGTCCCTGTTCCCAGGGTGCCTTGTCCCCACAGACCCCCTCCCCGGGGCCCTGTTCCCAGTGTCCCCTGTCTCCATAGACCCTGTCCCCAGGGTCCCCACCTCAAGGGTCCCTTGTCCCCATAGACCCCGTCCCTAGGGGCCCTTGTCCCCATAGACCCTGTCCCAGTGTCCCCTGTCCCCAGGGGCCCTTGTCCCCATTGTCCCTGTTCCCAGGGTCCCCATCTCAAGGGTCCCTTGTCCCCATAGACCCTGTCCCCAGGAGCCCTGTCCCCAGGGGCCCTTGTCCCCATAGACCCCGTCCCAGTGTCCCCTGTCCCCACTGTCTCCGTTCCCAGGGTCCCCATCTCGAGGGTCCCTTGTCCCCAGGGTCCCTTGTCCCCACAAACCCTGTCCCCAGGGTCCCCATATCAAGGGTCCCTGTCCCCAGTGCCCCTTGTCCCCATAGACCCTGTCCCCATTGTCCCTGTTCCCAGGGTCCCCATCTCAAGGGTCCCTTGTCCCCAGTGCCCCTTGTCCCCATAGAACCCATCCCAGAGGCCCCTGTCCCTACAGTCCCTGTTCCCAGTGTCCCTTGTCCCCATAGACTCCATCCCAGGGTCCCCTGTCCTCAGTGTCCCAAGTGTCCCCATCCCCAGGGACCCTGTCCCCAGGGTCTCCAGTGTCCCCAGCATCCCTGACCCCAGCGTCCTCAGTATCCCTGATGTCCCCAGTGTCCCCAGTATCCCTGATGTCCCCAGTGTCCCTGCGCCATCAGCCTGTCCCCTCATCACAGCGCCCGTCCCGGGCTGTGCCGGCTCTGGCCGGGTCCTGCCACCGCTCTGACGTCCCCTGGGCCAGACGCGGCCCCCCGAGGGGACATGGGGACCTCGGGGGTGACTCTGTGTCGGGGTGAGGGGGACACGGGCTCGTCCGGTCCCCAGGAAAACCGACAGCGATGGCGCTCGGCTGAGTAAGGGCTCATCACGCGGCATGGGGACACGGGGGGACACGGGACAATGGGGACGCACGGGGACACTGGGGGACACAGAGGGACAAGGGAAGACGGGGACATGGGGGGACGTGGGAAGATGGGGACACAGGGACATGGGGGATACGGGGACATGGGGGGACAGACGCAGGGCGATGGGGACACACAGGGACATGGGGGGACACGGGGGGACACAGAGGGACAAGGGACAACAGGGACATGGGGGGACACGGGAAGATGGGGATGCACGGGGACACTGGGGGACACAGAGGGACAAGGGACGATGGGGACATGGGGGACAAGAGAAGATGGGGACATGCGGGGACGCATGGACATGGGGACATGCAGGGACACAGGGACACAGAGTGACATGCAAGGACACGGGGGACGGGGACACGGGGCACAACGGGACAACGGGGACACAGAGGGACACAAGAAGACGGGGACGTACGAGGACACGGGGTGATGGGGACACAGGGGGACACGTGGAGCCACATGGGGACACAAAGGGACACGTGAGGCCACACGGGGACATGCAGGGGACATGGGGATGGACATAGGGACATGGGGACACAGAGGGGAACATGGGGACACATGGGGACATGGGGGACATAAGAACATGGGGGACAATGTGAGGACACAAGGACATGGGGGACACATGGGGGGACACACGGGTACCCCTCTCTCCTGCCCCACCCGCATCAGTGCCACCGCCTGTCCCTGGTGCCACCGCCTGTCCCTGATGCTCCTGCTTGTCCCCAGCACCACTGCCTGTCCCTGATGCCACCGCCTGCCATTGATGCCACCGCCTCTCCCTAACGCCATTGCCTGTCCCCAGATGCCACCGCCTGTCCCTGGTACCACCACCTGTCCCTGACACCATTGCTTGTCCCCAGCACCACCGCCTGCCCCGGATGCCACCTCCTGTCCCCAACACCACCGCCTGTTCCCAGCACCACCGCCTGTCCCGGTGCCACCGCCTGTCCCCGCTGTCACCTACTTGAACTCCTTCTCGGTCTTGCCGCGCAGGTCGCGGACGAGCCACTGGGAGGTGAAGGCGTCCTGGGGGGGCATCCCCCACCGCATCACCGCGTTCAGGAAGGCCTTGCGCTGCCGCGTGTTGAACCCCAACACCTGGGGGGGGCACGGGTGGGGGTGGGACCCCAGCACCCAGGGGGGAGTCATGGGTGGGTGGGGGGACCCCAGCATCT